GTCAGCAGAGTGGAGGGGGAAACAAATGGCCTTGTGGACGGAGAAGGCATCAGCCGAGGATCTGTGGACAGCACACACAAAGTGGGGTCTTTATCCAGGTCTGTCAAAGAGTTCCCTAAGAGAGAGAACTTAACACAGACCCAGACTCCTCAATAAGAAACAAGACCATCACATTCATTTCACTGTCCCTGACTTCTCTAAGAATGCCAGGGTACCACTCAGATATTTTTCAAAGGCTATTAGTAATAGAATCATCACTGGTTACTTGGAAATTAAAAACAGCAAGCTAACCTTGTTGTTGGTATTGTTGTTGTGTACTTTGAAATGAGGGTGCACCCACTGCTGAACCTCCAGCAGGTTTTCAAGGTGAGTTAATCTTCTGGGAGAAGATTACCCATTTTTCTCCCCCAGAGCGACTAGTACTTGGCATTGGAAACTTCATACCTTACCACTGAGCCATCCACTTCACCCCAAGAGAGGGCAGCCTCAACTCCCATACTCTGGGCATACTGTTAGGAAAGGGTCTTCCTTCGCCAAAGACTTCACACTAGGAAAGCTGGGGAGATGGCAGAGGAGAGGAAGCCCCTCAACCAGGTGGACTGACACAGTGACTGCAGCAATGGGCAAGCGTGTGTGAGAGATGGTGAGGATGGCGCAGGATAGGACAGGGTGCAGATCTGTTAGTCATATGGTCTCAGTGAGGGTATTTGACTGGACAACACCTAATAACAACTAGACACAAGAACTCCCCCCAGAAAGTCCCAACCCCATTAATTTTATCCTGCAAGAATCTATGAATGTAGGCCATTTTTTTTTAAGTATTGCATTTTTATGCTATAGGCTTGAGCGTGGCGTAGAGCGTATGCTATAGGCTTGAGTGTGGCGTAGAGCGTGATGATGTCGCAGAACACGACAAGATTCAGATCTGTTGTTCACTGGGTTGCTATGAGTCAGAGCCAACGAGGCACCTGCAGCAACAGACCACTTTCCTATGATCCAAAACATGCTTGGGGGTGTTCTAATGAAGTATGTCCAAAACATCTAAATATACAATTGGGGGGGGGGATTGAAAGAAAAAACACCACCAAGCTAATACTTGAAAAACAGAAAGGTTTTCATCATGAATATTCATACAAATTAACTTCCACGTGGCAAAGACTCAGAGAAAATCAAGATCAACATGAAAACGTTCTCATTTACTGTTTTCCTGCCTGAGCAGGTTAGATAAGGGAGAAGACACTGTATGGCTTTCCCCAAAATGGAAATCCACGTGACTATATAAGGAAAGCATGACCCCTAAGGTTTCTGTGTCCCCATCAAATGTGTGCTTCCCTCAATCCAAATAACTGCAATGATTTCCTTTTGAGTGATTAAGATATTTAGAAAGGAAATGATTTTGATATTTTTCATTACCTATATATTACCCTTTACACACAATTGCATTAGTTCTAAACCTGGTGAATGAATAGAGATTAAAATGTGAAAAGGATTCCAGCAAATGAGTCTGATTTCCCTTTGGATATAAAGATTTTGTAATATGATTATAATTTTGAGGTATTTTTTTACTTAAGATTATTCAAACAAATATATTTTAGTAGATATTTTGTAGGGTTTTGGTTTTTCTACTCCGATTTCATAGTCCCCAACTAAATTTGGCCTACATGCACATATATGCACTCTTTATAGCACACTCATGCATTTTATCTGCGGAAACTTTGTCGTCATTTCTACACACTTTATATGCACACTTATAGCATATCTTATAATAGCAAGTACAGTCTGTAAATATTTTCTGCTTCTAAAATCTGACGTCAATTTAATGCACTTATTCAAGCTCTTTCTTTTAGCGTCTTCCTCTCCCCAATAGCTAATGTCTGACACATCTGACTTCTAACTCTAGCTTCATTTTGTGTATTTTTCTTGTTTGACCGACTTTATTCCTTCCTCCACTTTAGGAATGGTTAAAACACACTACAAGATTCATTTATGTGATTCTAGCACAAGCTTACAGGCAGCTCTGCCAGCTCAGTGGTAAGGAGTACTCAGGTACCTGGGTCGAATGGGTGTCAGCTGTGAACTGGTTCTGACTCAGTGACACATAACAATAACAACATAAACTCTAGGCTGTAGCACCACCCCTCGCCGTCGCACTTACTCTTCCTTGTGGGGCAGAACTGGTTGACATATGGGTTGCTGAGTTCATTTTCAGTCCAGATGATGCCCTCCGGAGTACTAAGTTCTAGTCTTTAGTCTTGTCCCTTACAGGATGAGCGCTTTCACAGCTTTCTATTCTACTTTCTATAGTAGTTGGACTTTGTGATTGTGAGTTAGCTACAGGTCCTGAGCTACTGAACCCCAAGAACAGTGTTAGAAAATTAATCTGAACTCAGTCAATCTGGTTCCTCTATTATCCACCATCTTTTGCAGATGTCTGTGCCCAGCTACAGAGTTCAAACTCTAGCTCTGAAGTTACAGCCCATTTGGTTATTAGCACGTATCCACCAAGTTAATCTGTCCTACTTGTGTTCAACTCAACTCAGTTCACTATCCTCAAGCTGGAACTTCTAGCTGATGGTAGGTTTTGTGAGGCTGTAAACTGCAAGGGAGGAGACTGTCCTTCTTTCTCCCAAGGAGCAACTGGCAGACTTGAAGCACCGGTCTTTGCGTTGTCAGAACAAGTCCATACCCATGAAGCCACCAGAGTTCCTGGGCTGGGCTAGTGTTAGTTGATACAGTTCATCAATCCTTTCTTATCTGCAAGACTGGCAAGTCATGCATTTTATCTGCAGAAACTCCGTCATCATTTCTACATGTTTACAACTAGATGGAGAACTTCTGAGTCAGCTTAGTTTGCCACACCAGCATTTGTTTCAAGAATCTAAACAATAAAAATCTAATTACCAATATGTCCATTATTTACTTTTTAATCATCTCAAATCTTTCTCAAACTTTTTAAAATTAGTTAAAACATTATATATTTTAAAATTTCATCACTTTCTCCAGGCTGCTTAGATTAGCTATTTTTTTTTTCAAAAAATTAAATATCGTGTCATCTACTTTTTCCAATCTCATATCCATAAAGGAAATTCGGCCTATGTGATGAGGAATGCACACTTCTAAGCAGCGGTTTATCAACTCAATCAGGAGAACACATTTTCCGTGGAGGGAAAGTTCGGGTGCCAAAGACGTGGAAAGAGAAATATATCAAATTTTATATAAGATACAAATTAAAGGCATTCTTCAGAAGGGGGAGGAAGAAGCGGAAGAGAAATGGTTCTAATCTGTTTGTGTTCAGCTGTGGCTTCTCAATTTTGATCCTTTCTTTCTAACCTCCTTCATCTTAAGAAATTCTATTTTCCGTAATGCTGGCTTTAAAAAAAAAACGAAGCTGAAAGCAAACAAGTAGAAAGTCTGTGCGCAACAACAGACAAAAATGCCCAAGGGTTAGTCTGGAAATATCGGAGGTCAGGCTAGCCAAAGCAAGCACTGTCCTTCCTCTACACAACACACAGAAATTAGAATTGTCCCATCAGGCAGTAGTGATGAACTCCACTCTCTGACATTGACATCCCATAGGAAGGCAGAGAGTGGATGCACTATACTGAGAATTTGACAAGGCAGCTCTTTATTTCAAGACATTTCATGATGTACACATAAATACAAACACAATTTCTAGATTTCTTAGATTAGTGAATTCTTTTTACTCAATATTTTTAGTTTACATTTCAAGAGAGCTATGGTGGCATAGTGGCACGAAGCTACACTGCAATCTCGAAAGCACATGGTTTCAATCCACCAGATGCTCCATGGGAGAAGGAGGGGCAAGCTCCTCCCTTGTGATTAACTGCCTCTATAAACCCAATGGAGGGTCAGCTATGGGTCAGTTCTGACTTGATGATACACAACAACAATGACAACTTTTAAAATAAATATCCATTGGGTGGTGGTTGTTGTTAAGTGCCACCGAGTCACCTGCAGCTCATAGCAACCACTGGGTAAACCTGGCCAAACTGTAGAAACAAATTTCCTTTCTCACTTGCATTAATTGACACTGACTCAAGAGAGAGAAATTATTGTTAAAAAATATTTTTTTAACATAGAGGAGAAAGGTTTACTTGCTATACATCAGAAAGCTAGACAATGATGAGGGATGATAGGAGAATTAATGCCTTTGAGCTGTGGTGCTAGAGAAAAGTACTGACTATACCATGGACTGCTAAGAGAACAAACAGGTTCATCCTAGAAAGGGTGAGACCATCCTGCTCCTGGTAGGCAAGGATTCTGAAGCTTCGTCTAACATACTGTGGATACGTTGCAAGGCAGGACCAGTCCTTGAAGAGGGACGTCATGCTTGGGAGGCTGGAGGGACAGCGCAGGAGAAGAAGACTCCAGATGAATTTATTCAGTGACTGGGGTGATGGGAGTAGTTGTGTCATAGACAATGAGACTGACATGGGATAGAGCAGGGTTTAGGGCTGTTGTACACAGGGTCACTATGAGTTGCAGGCAACTTGATGGCACATAACAACAACAGCAAAGTAGAAAGGTACATCCCTTGCTCTTGGATCTGACCAACTCATTTTTCATTGAGGTTGTTCCTTTCATTTAGCAAATTTCACTGTCACCACAGTCATTTGTAGAAAGATAGCTTCTGAACTACAAATGAAAAAAAAAAAATCCATGCCCAAATTACACTAATATGCAAAACAGTACACCATCCCATTTTTTCTTCTAGGATCTCTGGCCATAGCCAAAATGGTCTCTGGCATATAAAACAGCTACTGCTTTGAGCCCTTGTTTTCTTTCTGATTAAAATTTCTTTTAGACCTATAATAAGAGAAGGTTTCATTTAAAGTTTGAAAATTATAAACATCTGATTTCAACTCATTTTCAATTGAAGTGCCATGGTTCTCAGAAAAAAAAAAACACAATAAAAAACATCTCAGATTCAGAAGTTCAACAATGACATTCATGCAAAAGTCTTGGTGTTGGGCACTTACCACGTAAAACGGTGAGTCTGGTGGACACACTTATTTCTCCCACATTATTCGAGGCCACACATTCATAAATGGCCTCATCGCGAGGGGTCCGTAAGGGTTGTATTCTGAGAACTGATCCCGATCCATCGTCAAACTCTATTACCTATTAGAGGGAACAATAGCTGTCACAGATGTTGTTACTATTGTTTACGTCTCATCCAAACCTCTTCACGTAGCAGCGAGCTGGCCGTTAGGCCGGGGGGAAACTCAACAGCACTTTGACACTATCTTGAGCTACTGTGGTAAACAGACAGCCGAAATGAATGAATCTTCTACGCAACAGAAGTCATAAAGCCACACACGGACATCTAACTGCATTTCTGCAGGGTTTACTCATGATAATATGCTACTGTGTGTGTCTAGAGCCAGTCGGTCCTACTCGTTTGGGAAGAGACTTTCTGTAATAATGGATAAACTCTTAGAACCATTCAGTCTGTGACACCACAAGTGCACACGTGGTCTCCTTTCATTACTGACTGAGGGTGGAGAATGAGTGCAGGCCTCCACAGACAGCTCTTTCAGGTGGGAAGTGTCTCATCCCAGATGGCAGAGAGGATCAAGCCAGGAGGAGTCACCGAAGAAATCTAGTACTCAGGCAGCCAACACTACACTTTTCACAACTCGCCGGCCTGATGGCTCGCATTAATTTTGCCATAAATCATTCCAGTGTTTATTCCAACTTAGCCTTTTCTGCATTTTGAGGCATTCACGCTATAAAATTGAGGCTTGCTTCACCATGCAGAAAATAAACATCCTTAACAACAATCCTGATTTCTCCATCACTGGGAATTCCACTCCCAAAGTGTTTATCAAACGCCGGTTCTCCGAGGCACTGCCCAGCTAAGCCATGTACTGCTTTGTTTAAAAATTACAATGCTGATGCTGAATACATAAACTAGACTGTAGAGTTACTGGTCTTTTCTAAACCCAGGTTCTAATTACAAAAAGTTATGAATATTGCCTTTACCTGTGCATAATAATGACATCAATACAACTAACTTTGAAATAAAGGGAGACTGCCTTATACATGGAGTTATTAAAATTTGGTGTTGGAGTGAGTATATGTTTGTACATGAGAGACAGAGATAGAGTGTATGCTTGTGTTTTTTTAAAAATTTTATTCGTTTTTGTGCACGTACCGTCAAATCAGATCTGACTGGTACAGGAGGATATTGTCCCTCCTTCTCCAGCAGAGCATCTGGTGGATCTGAACCAGGCATTTCTGGGATTACAGTGCAGCTTCTTGTCACTAGGCCACCAGAGCTCCCTGACTGAGTGCTTTTTAAGATACATCCACTTCAAGTCATCTGTGGCATTCACACACTTTCTAAATTCACAAAGATATATCCAAAAGGCAGCATTTCTCTGAACGCCCTATTTTACTTCCAGCTCTATTAAAAAGAGCATTTTCAAATGAAGGCACAGTTACTGGACTCTTTCAAATGTTCTATAATTTAATAATATGCATATTTTTAAGTGTCTCACTAGCTGACGTGCAACAACATTTAAACATCTTCAATACTAACTGAGAATCACTCATTCACTTACAATGACTGAGACTGAGCCAACCCCTCGCTGACCGTCAGCGGGTTCTCAGAGACTGTAACTGCACGGGAGACATGGCTCATCTCTTCCTGATGAGAGGCTGGTGGGTCTGAACCACCAGAGGGGAGCCATCTTTAGGACAGCAGCACAATTCTCAGACTACACCACCAGGGCCCCCAATTTCAAGAGAGAATAAATTATTATTAATATCAACAAATGGATGCAATCCTAAATTGTTTTCTAGTTAAGAGGTGTCTTCTTACAACAACAACACAAGTTTCACAAGCATTGCAATTTTCAAGTCAAGACTTTATTCAGTATCTAGTATTGATCATGCAGCATATTTAAATGAAGCACATGGATTAAAATGTTGGATGCTAACCACGAAGTTGAAGGTTCCAATCCCAGAGGTATACAGTTTGAATCCACGAGATGCTCTGCTGGTGAAGGACGGGCAATCCCCTCCTGTACCAGTCAAATTTGATGGTTGTTGTTGTTGTTATGTGCCGTCGAGTTGCTTGCGACTCATAGCGACCCTATGTACAATAGCCCTAAACTCCGCTCTGTCCTGTGCCAATCGCACCGTCTCTGACACTCCCATCCCAATTATCCCAGTCACTGAATCAATCCACCTCATAGAGGGCCTTCCTCTCCTGCGCCATCCCTCCACCCTCCCAAGCATGATGTCCCTCTCCAAGGACCGGTCTCTCCTTACAACATGTCCGAAGTAATTTAGACGGAGCCTCAGAATCCTTGCCTCCAAGGAGCCACCCGGTTTAACCCTTTCCAGGACAAATCTGTTTGTTTTCCTAGCAGTCCATGGTATTTTTAATACTCTTCTCCAGCATCACAGCTCAAAGGCATCAATTCTCCTTCTATCCTCCTTGGTCATTGTCCAACTCTCTGATGCATAACAAGTGATTGGGAAGACCAAAGCCTGTATCAGACGCACCTTAGTCTCCAGCGTGACGTTGCTCTTCAGAGATGATGAGGATTAGAGCACAGCTGACTTTCCCAATGCAATTCGCCTTTTAATTTCCTGGCTGCTGGTGCCAAGACTGTTGACTACGGAGCCAAGTAAACTAAAGCTGTGTACAAGCTCAATCTCTTCACCATCCATCCTGATGCTGCCAATTGGTCCAGTGGTGAGAATCTTTGTCTTCCTGGCATTGAGCCTCAATCCATATTAGAGGCTGCAGTCCTTGACACTCTGCAGCAGGAGCTTCAGGTCCTCTTCAGTTTCAGCAAGCAGGGTTGTGTCATCCGCATTTCTCCTTACAGAGCCCAGCCTCCCGGATAATCTGTTCTGCATACAGGTTGAAAAGGTATGGAGATAGGATGCATCCCTGGCGTACGCCCTTCCCAATGGTACATACAAAAAATAATAAAATTTTTAAAAAATTTAAAAAAAACTGGAGGTTCAAGGTTTTGGTTGGTCTTTTTTCTTTTCTTTTGTTTGAGGTTCAGGTTTAAGTTTTTTAAAAAAGAAAACAAAACCAGTCATTGAAAATCCTATGGAGAATAGTTCTGTTCTGACACACATGGAGTCACCATCAGAATCCACTTCCTAAAAATTCTTTTTAATGTATATACATATTATAAAGGTACTAAAAAGATTTTCTTCCAAAGACTTGATTCTATCTGGTGTAGGTGTTTTGTGTAAAATTAATTTCCTATAGATGTGCTGATATGACTCTAATTAAGAATTACAACCTAAGCACAGCTGTTAGGAAGCACGGAGTACCATAAAATCATTTTTGCAAGATTTTCTTCAAGAAGCCATAATCATTATCAAGAATAATATAATGCTTTTCACTGACAAAATAATTCACCTTAAACTGAAAAACTGTGTACCAAAGATAAGCACATATATTATTTTTACATGACTGAAAAAATATTTCTGTGTATATATTTTCTGTCTTAAATAAAATTTTAATGAAACTATTTAAAATAAACTTAGTATTATTAAACATTTATTTAAAATGCTACTTTTCCCTAACTATTCTCAAACAACAATTCTCAAACATAATTTAAAATGTACTATCTGTAAATTACAGTGCAGATGCCCATTTTCATCAGTAGAATTAAGCAGAATTTTGTGTGTATGTGCATTTGAATCATTTATGGCTCTGTGGCAAGTAGTTCAGCTTTTCTGAATCTTTTACCTAGTAGCAGCCTGTTAATCGCCCAAGTTGTGTATTATTTCATGAAATAGATTAGTTACTTGGGTGAAAATATTGTGGTTTTTCAGTCTGGAGTAGTGCAAGTGTCCTGATACTCCAAGGAATCCTGCTGTCCTCTCTGTATCATAAATTATAGATTCATTATTGTGATCTTCCAAGCCTTCTCTATGAACATGTCTACCCTTGTTTGCTCAGGAAAGAACACATTTCTAAACCATCAAGCTCCTCACATGAACTCCAAAAAGATTCTCTGAACTGTTTCATCATTTTCAAAGCAATGACCTTTCTTCCCTGAACAGTGGAAATTAGCTACAAAGTCAACCCATCTAGGTAAGTTCCCATCAATGTAGTAGTCTACATGAAAATACTGAAGCAAAACTCTCATTCATGTCCCTACTACTAGCAAAACACAGGTATAAGGAGTAGGAGAAAACTTCATCCATTACTAACTTCTATTATCCTTCCTTTTGATAACAGGAACTTGAATTCCCTTTCGAAAAACTGTTCCTTCATTCTAAGCCAGGGTTGATTCCATCCCCAGTAATAAATGGATTTCAATTGGCTTAAATAAATTAGCATGTATCTATCATCCATTTGTTTCCACAGATTGGCTGAGGATGGGAGAGTATTACCCAAGCGCTAGGAAGTCTGTGAAACAGAGAAGCTATGAGTCATCCTGTAGGCTGTTGTGTGAGAATATGAGGCTTCCTCCCGACCCTCTAGGGGAGGCAGCCTGAGGATGAAGTGGTCAGAAAGTGGTCTTAGGGACACTGCTGAAGCCCTGATAAGAGAGGGGACAAATAATGAGCTCCAAAAGCCGTGTCTGGAAATCACTCGCAGCTGAGTTTTCCACCCCACGGAATATGAAGAATGCCCACTGATACTTGATGACAACATCAGAGCAGAGCCAACAAATATCATACAAACAAAAGCCAGAGTGGACAGTCCCCTCCTCTCCCCCCCCCAGAGAAATAGAACAATGGACCTAATACCTCAAATCTCTGGTTGCTGACTTTTTTTCCTTTTTTGTTCCAGACAATTTTTGGTCTTGGGTCTCCTGTAGCTTGGCAAATAAAAGAGGCAACTCCGCCAGATACTCCAGTCTGATCCACGGGAGTTCGTGTAAATCGTGGAGGTGCTGAAATTAAAAAAAATATATATATGTAACATACATAGTCACAATTAATGGAAAAGCATACCACAAACTCTTCCCCCATTTGCGGTGACTGCACCCACAGTTCTCCACCTCATTTCCACTCACAGATACATCCGGGGATTAAATGCACTAGAATTGCAATATTAGAAGTACTCCTTTTCCTTTGAGACTACTGAAAGAGGAGGTAACTTTTTGGTCAAGCCATTGGTTAGCACTTTTATTGCCAAAATCAGTATTAAGGCAAAGATCCAGTAAATTCAAATAGCAACATGACACATTAATTTTTATTACCAGTCTAAAAAAATCCAATTTGTCCTCTGTAACAAAATGAGCTCATCAATCAAAGAGAGTAAAATTTTAACTCTGCTTTGATACCACTATCAGGACCCTGTCAGGAAACAGCATTGGCACCACTGAGCCATTAACACTGGTGACACTTGAGACAAATTCTAGGAAACGTTAAAGATGCAAGAAATATAGAGGTGAAATAGGCAAGAAAAAAAAAGGGAGGCAGTGGTAAAATTACTAACTCAGATACTGTGAACAGCCTTATTTGAAACTTCACAATCTCAATGAAAAATACTCAATCAAGACTTAAAAGGTCATGGAAAGAGAACACAAACAACTCTCAGCCCTTTGCTGTCTATTACGGGTTAACCCATGACTGATCCTACACAGACTTTCCGAGGCTGTAAATGACATGGGAAGAGATTGTCTAACCTTCCTCCTCGTGGATTCAAACCACCAGAGAAGTGTCTGTCACCTGCGGGTTAAGGGCCAACTCCCTAAAGGTTAGGCCACCAGCGCTCTCCACATGTAAATAATAGGACGTTTTAAAGAAAGATATGGTGGGACTTTACGAGCATCAGTACTGGAAAGGAAAAGATTTTTAAGAAGTATCTGGCTGGACAAAGACCAAAGAGTACTGACGAAGAATTGACGCCTTTGAGTTATGGTGTCAGAAAAGAAGAGAACAAACACGTCTGTCCTAGAGAGGGTGAAACCAAGTTGCTCTTTGGAGGTAAGGATACTGAAGCCCCCTCTCACATACTTCAGGCATATGGCCAGGAGGGACGAGTCCTTAGAGAAAGACATCATGCTTGGAAGGGTGGAGGGACAGTGCAGGAGGGGAAGATTCTGGATGAGATGGACTGATACAGTAGTGGGTACAGGGGTTGGTGTGTTGGAGACTGTGAGACTGGCTCGGGGCAGGGCAGTGGTTCAGGGCTACTGTTCACAGGGTCGACAGGAATCACAGGTGACTCAAAGGCAAATAACAACAAACAAAAACGTCTTCTTTCTTGAGCTCCAGGGGAGTATTCCATAAGGAGTCACACTATTAACCCAAAGGTGAGGTCTCTCTGGTGGTTTGGATCCTGCAGTCCCTTATGACTTAGCATCTATTACATAATAAAGGGAGAGGGGGAGCAGAGAGGGAAGCAGAGGCATCTCGTAAAGTCCTGGACAATGAGATTCTCCCCCCTCAGCACACGGAATATGCTGGCTGTCACCTGGTGAGATTCACGGCCTTGCTTCTACTCAGAAATACTGGGGAAGAAGACTGGCCCTCTGGTCCTGCTAGTTACCATATCCCACGACACTGCTTGGTAGCAGAGCACATGGAATCATTACCAGATGCTGTGGGATGTATTTAAATGGATTTAAAATTGACTGACACTGAGAGGAATGAAAAACCACTACATATTGAGGTCATTTTTCTTGAAACAACAAAATAAATAGTGTAAGTGTTTGAATATTCCATTCCACTGTTGCAAAGAAAGCAAATTCGTAATAACTACTCACTTGTCAGCAACTAATATAGAAGTTATAATTATGCATTTAAAATCCCTAGGGAATATTCTTGGAAAAATAAACACATTGTATTGCTACAATGTTTAAATGCTATGACTTCACCATTTTGAAGTATTTTTGTTTCCTGTGTGCAGATTCAAAATTAACCAAAGAAACCCAGGGCCACTGACTTGATTCAATAGATAGTGACCCTCCACCGGGTTCTCACCCTGTAAATCTTAATGATAACAAAATGCCTCACAGCTCCTCTTTGGAGTGGTTGATGGATTCAAATCACCAACCTTCTGATAAGGAGGTCAAAACACAATCAGCTATACCATCAGGACTTCTTAAAAACCAAGTGCCCATCAACAAAGGAACAGACAGAAAAACTAAGGTACATTCACAGTATGGAATATTACACAATAGTGAAAAACAATGAACTTGTGAAAAACACTACACAGCATGGGTGATCCTGGAGGACATCCTGCTGAATAAAATATCTTGTCACAAAGGGACAGGAGCTGGATAACACTGATGTTATAAAATGGGCCTTACATGGGGGGCTGGAGGAAGAATAGGAAAAGAGTGGCTAGATAATGAGCACTGCATTGGAACAGATAAGCGGAAGAATGGTCAGAAAGGAATATATGATTAGATATTATACGTCTGACAACAATCTGGAACAAGGGGTACATAGTGGACTGACTGGTAGAGGAAGGAGAAGGGAGAAAATATGCATCAATGAATGAATAAAAAAATGCACATAAGAAACCAAACAAAATATCAACAGACAAATTCACTGAACTCAAGTCAGAACCAACTCACAGCTAATTTTTTTGAAAGGCTATAAACCATTGGAGGAGAATGCCCGTCTTTCTCTGGGTTTGCTGCCGATGGATTTGAACCACCAGGAAAACATGGCCTTTGGATTAGAAGCATAATGCCACTGGAGTGCCTCAAAAAGCTACAAGACTCAGTGAAAATTAATCCTAACACAGCCGGCTTCCTGATGAAGTCCTAGTTTGAAGTGTTTTGCTAGAATGTATGAAACAAAGAGTAGAGTTATCAATAAAACCAAACAGATAGTACTTACATTAAATAAACCTAGAATGGGGTTTTCCCTCCTGAACTAGGATTTTTTTTTAAATAGAGAGCTTTCCTTCTTTCAACTCAAAGAATGGAGGAAATATGGAAGAGCTGACACTTTTGCAAATAGATACCAGTTCTTGGTCACATGCTTCTATGACAGACCATTACTGTAAGGGTCTAGGGTAGGAAGGTAAACAGAAATAACCATGTGGGTGGGGACATTACAGAAGACAGTACTGAACAGAGAAATTATATTTCAAAATGGAAAGCTGAGAAGTCAAATTCCGACAAACTCAAAGATGTGGTGTTCCTTAATTGATCTTCATTTTCTGGTCTTGCCTAGAAATCCTCACTAGGCTATCTCGCCCACACCATGACCTTTCTTAACAATGACCTTAGGATTTTGCAGGTCAACTGGAAAAGATGCATATGGTTCTTATCCAGCCTTTAAAAAAAGGGAAGGGGGAGGCTTAGAGCATTTTCTGTGGTTTCTAAGCTGATGGTGAGCAACTGAAGTTGACCGTGATAAAGAACTTGTTGAGAAGTACGGGTTGGTTCTATCATTTCAAAGTGGGGGCAAATTTACATAATATTAAAAGGTAAGGAGTAGCTTTCTGTAAATGGGACATTTGTAGCCTAGGGACTGCCTACACTCATCTCAGGAGGGACTTAGTTTCTCAAAAAGGGTACTTCAAACAGTCTTTAGATATATTCTTTACAAACAGCAAAGGAAGTTGACAGTACCATAAGAAAATAAGAAGTCTGTACACAAAATGCTTTCTGTTTATTATTAACATGAAGGACTTGTTTTTCTTTCACAGATTCTTCCCCTCAATCAAAAGAGGGGAAGAAATCATAATCATGAACTTCTTTATAGTGTTCTGCTGTCAGTTTTTCTCAACTTGCCCGTGAATCCAAACCAGAGAAATGAGGAAAGCCTTCATACCAGACTCATGGCAAGATAAGAAAGCAAGACCTTTTCCATCAGCAAGCCCCACTATATATATAATCACCTAGGCTGGTTAATCTCTCAGAACTAATTCTGTCACTGTCAGTCCACAAGGCAAAGGAAAGAGATGAGAGAGAAAGGAGGTGAGCCTTAATAACCCCAACAAGGCCCCAGGCAAGAAAACAGATTGTAAACACGTTTAGTTCTCAGACGATGGTAACAGAATACATCAGCACTTCCCTTTTGCTGTGTCTCAATTTAATAAAGGCAAAATCAATCCACTTTTTCCTTTTGCCATGGATACAACCCAAAGTGAGGTTTGCTCTGAAGATGGCAGAAGGGGTAGAGAATCCAAGTCAAACACTAACAGACTCCGGCCATCCGCTGTTGGTGGTGGTGGTTGCCATCGAGTCGTGCATGAATCATAGCAACCGCATGAACAAAAGCCCTGAAGCCTTTCTGTATCGTCATTTCTCCAAGTTCACAGAGTTTCCAGAGACGTGTGGGTGCCACTAGTGGCCATCACTAGAGTGTCCTCACCCAGAGCAGCCACTATTCTGAAAAAGGAAACTCATTTTTACCCCAATCCCTGGGTTCTCCTGGGCGCACAGAAGAATGCTAAGAATAGGGAGGAAAGGCACTGAAGTCGCCTCCATTCTTCAGAAAGGAGCAGATTCCCTCTTCCTGCTCTGCCCGTCCCTCTGCACCTGCCAGCCCCGGGTGCTGAAAAAAATCCATTTCTTTCCAAGCTGCTTTTAACAAGTGAGGAGTATGAGCCTTTATTAAAAGAACGCTAGACGCTGCAGAGGTCAAATTACTGCGAAACCCAGAAAGTCTATCTTCTAAATGGAAAGGAGAGACGCTAAACATGCACAGCCCGTCCACACGGAGGCAAGGCTGTGAATCTAGAACGCGTCAGTCACGCTCTCCTGCCTTTTCAAGGACTGTGCACCCTCAGGATGGCCCGTGGAGCAGACAGGAGCTCCCGGAATGCACCAGGCTGCTATTTCAGAGGGTGACACTGACTGCTGATCGCCTGTACTTCGAAGAGTCTAGACCGCTTATTAAAGGAAAAGTAACACTTAGGAGCTTCACATGTAACACGCTGTACTGCACATTGCTGGGCTCTCCAAAGATGGGGTGA